GTTTCGAAGTCCAGCTTGCCCTTAAGATTATCATAGGCGATATCCAGCTCCCGTTACGTCACAAATACAGTCTAAAGTTGTTATCCACTCCCTGCTGCCGTCTCTAACAGCTGCTCGAACTTTCTTTTCATCCCAAAGTCTCTTGGAGAACACCCTTTTGGTCCTTGAAGTGACACTAAGGAGAAAGCCCTTTTCGTCCATATTATAGATATTTTGCGGCTGGATATCGTATTTCTCGATATAATCGTGAAGTAGACGGAAGTAATTATGGTAATCTTTAAAATCGTCAGCTTTTTTGCAGTTTTGGTCGATGCCGGCGGTGTTTCTGGTGATAATTTTCTCTCTGTTCCGCCGAAGAAATCTTGTAACCCAGCTGTTAGATGGCTGTCTTTTTGCAATATTGGCAACATGTTTTTGAATCATCTCTCGGGACGGTGGAGTACTACGCTCAGAGAGTTTTTCTATGTGCTGGACAAGGTATTTCTCTTGTTGTGGTGAGAGTAGTCGTCGTGGGTGTGCAGCGGCTGCACGCGACCGCGTTTTGTTTTGGTGGCGACGCGTCAAAGTTGATGCCGCAACACCATATATTTTTGCAGCTGCACGGTACGAGATTTGTCCTTCTGGACCTTGCGAATTGATTGCCGCAAGCGCTTTTTCGATAGCTGTCATGGTGGTGGAGTTGTGGGGATTTGAAATTGGTGGGTTCTACTTTGGGAGATGCAGGGGGTGTTGCATTGTCTGACCCGTTGCACGCATTGACCACCCACACTAGGCGCGCTCTCCACGTACAATGCAAAGCTCCTACGCATATCACCAGATACATACATACTGCCATGGTACCGCTCTCCTCTTAACCTGTGATGCGCATACGAGACGTTGGTTGACGCATGACGCGAACTGGTCTCTCGGCGGGAATTCTTTACTAACACTATACAGATGAAAACATGCCCACATCGAACAACTAGGAAGCCATTGACCTGGCGATCTTGAGCTTTGCTACAGGATTGAGGGACGAAATCAGATGTCATCAGCTGATACAAATCACCGCAGCTGTGCCCTGGATCGCTCCACGGAACCTCAGTTCACAGCTTCGCATGCTATTCCCGGCCTTGATTGGACCCAGGAAGCAGAAAATGCGGCTAGTTCTGAGCACTCGAGTCGTTACTTCATTTCCCTCGGCACTTCTATCCATTACAGACAATTTATGTCTTGCAATCTCTCTTGGCACAATCTCGCCAGCCAGTCGCAGTGCCAGCATTTGCAGGGCCTCCTTTGCGACCCTGCTGCCAACCCATGCATAACCTGCACCAGCACCGCCTCCGAACTCGTGCGATCTGCCAAAGGATCTGGAATAAGAGTCGAGCCGCGAGCATCCCGCCCCATACACGTACGCAGGGAAACTGCCACACTACGCAAAGGACGATTGGTAGTATCTCGCAGTCTACGCGCCCATTGCGCCGAGGAGATGCCTGCAAGGGATTAGCAAGCCCGGCCCCCAAATGTCTCAATTCGAGTGCACGCCCAGATTTTGTGCAGGAGAGTGTGCACAACTAGGACGCTGACCGGCGTTGGCGTGGAAAGTGATTGGCAGACCAGATTGCGGGAACAGGGAGTCTTTACTTAGCTTGAAGCCTATAGCGGCAGCGGCCGCGATGGCGCTGGCTTCGATTGCCACTCCCTCCCCAAGCCCCCATCTCCCCCTCCAGTTCATATTGCTTTCCCCTCGGTCCTTGACTCAAGTGTTTTCCGAAGCCAGATCAAGATCCTGTGTGGCGACTCTCGCGTGGCGGCCATCCTGCTTGTGTCGTGAGCATGCCGAAACGGTCGACTGGATGCTTCGAGTGCAGAAAAAGAAAGGTGCGCTGCGATGAGGCCAAGCCAGAATGTAATACTTGCCTCAAGCGCGGCACAAAGTGCCCTGGCTATCGGCCGACGCAGGCCTTCATACTTCACGAGTTCGACGCCAAAGGAGACAAGCCCGCTCTGATCAAAGAGGATGAGAACCGCTACAGATTCGCCAACTCACAGCAGCCCGTCCAGCCACAGAGCCAGGCCATAGACCGCAGAGACAGCACGATCCATGGACCTGGAGAGATACACATTCCCAAGCAGGTCAGCTCGGTTGCTGCAGATCGCATCCAGCACGTTGGCACCTTCATATCGCTGTATCTCCCCAAAACCGAGGGTCCCGCATTGCCCCCTCCATCGGCACTAATGCTCGGTTTGCCCAGCATGCCTGCGAACAGCGAAGTCCTCATGGCAGCCATCGACGCGCTCTCTGCAGCTCAGCTGGCTGTGAACAACAGGGACCATCCGCTTATCCATCGTTCCAGGTCGCTCTATGGCACAGCACTCACCCAGATGATGCGAGCGATCCAAAACACAAAGGTAGCACTCAAGGACGAGACCCTCTTGTCTACATATTTGCTCTCGCTGTTTGAGGTAAGGCAAACTCCTCACGTAACAGTTGCTGTGTTGACTTTCTTCGCAGGTGTTTGTTGGAGTGACGTCGGGTCAAGGCTTCTTTTGCCATGTACAGGGGCTTCTGCATCTACTGAAGCAGCGCGGCCCGGAATCGTTCCAGAGTAGATTGAGCATGCAGATCTTCCATGCCATCCGGTACAACTCAGTATGATAGTCTAGTACCCCTCCTTTCGCCACTTGGCTAATGCCTACTAGTTGAGCATTGGTTACCTGATGCGGAAGGCGTCGATGCTAGACACCCCCGAATGGCTAGCAGTAACCGCCCGAGCGGCCAGAATCGATCCTTATGTGGCACTCCTCGATATTGTCATGGGCATACCGCAGCTTTTAGAACGCACCGATGATCTAGCCAAACCAGGCAGCCCCCCAGAAGAAATCGACAAGCTACTCAATGACTGCGACCAAACTGCCGGACGTGCATTTGATTGGCTTAACAACTTTGAAAGACACGGCCCACGCTACAACAAAGTCGATGTCGCCTCCATAGACGGCTTCATGGACATCTGCGCCGATCGCGTCTTCGACCCTGTGTTCCAATTCCACTACTTCGCCGCCGGCATCTGCTACCTCATCTACTGGATGAGCATGCTCATCATGCAGGGCAACACCTTCAAGCTCCTCCGTCAACACCGCCAGCTCGACCCCAAGCAGCTGATGGCGTGGGGTCGACAACTGGAAAACTTTGCAGACTCCATTTGCAGAAGCGTGCCGTATCACTGCCGCCCTCTGACAGGGTACTCGGGGAGATTCGGCTCGCTGACGCCCCTCATGGTCGCGCGAAAATACTACGAGATGAGAGGTGCGACGGCGCAGGCAACGTGGTGCTTGAACGTGTATATGGGCGCGAGGGTACCTGAACTTTACGACGCCCCACCGCCGGTGAATCCCCTGGCAGAGATGGGTGTTCAGGTTAAGAACAATCCGCGGTTCATATGAGATGAATACATTTAGAGATGCAAGTATAACGAAATCGGACTGTAGACATTTATCCGTGCGAATGACCATCTAAGTTTAGCAGACATTCACATAGTCCTCCAGCTTCTGGGCGTTCAGTTGTGCCGTCGTCGATCTGCTGATGACGAGTCAGCAGAAGCTGTGAAGAACTCCGTCCTTGTGGTGCTCTGCCTCGCCCAAACACAGAATTTGCACCTGTTATTCAGCGAGGTGGGCGTGAGATACGCATACTTTCAACACATCGGTTCTCGAAATTCCTTGATGAGGCCAGGAAATGGCTTCAGATATGGGACCTACCGCTGTACATGGACAAAGATACAGGACCATCTGGAATGTGGCTGTCATGCAGGAACCCGAATGACGGCATGGAAGTGGAGAAGACATGGAGAAGATTAGTTGGAGAATCCGAGTCTTGCTGCTCCAGTGCAAGTGTCAGCCTAACAAAGGAGGGTATGTGATATTTCAATTATTAATCTTTTACCCAGACTTGTTCAATTCAGCCGTTGTTCTCATACAACGTTCCGAAACACTTTTTTCTTCTTTATATACAACAAATCTCTATCGCTCGCCAGCCTAGACATTACCATATTACACTGCGCATCATCCCCCCTTTCCCAAATCAAGCCTTCAGCTCTGTAACCAGCTTTCCCGTATTCCCACCCTTAAACAGCATCGTCCACGTGCTGGGCACATCCTCGAATTTAGTTGGCACCACGGTCTCCGTCTCGGGCCCAACCTGAATCTTGCCCGCCTTGACAGCCTTGATCAGTTCTTGGATGTACGCGCCAGCCTTGCCACTCTCCATGACATCCAGCACGATGAAGCCCCTAACCTCGATACGGTTGCTGATAATCTCAAACCAGTTCTTGACGCCGCTGTCGGCCATGGAGTTGTAGGTTGCGACGGCGCCGCAGGCAGCAATGCGGCCGTGGCGCTTCATGCGGCCCAGCATGAGGGACAAGATGTCGCCGCCGACATTGTCAAAGTAGACTTCTACGAAGCCTTGGGTGGCGGCCTTGAGGGCCTGCTCGAAGCCAGGCGCTTTGTAGTCGACGCAGATGTCTGCGCCGAGCGACTCAACCCACGCGCATTTCTGCGCCCCGCCTGCGATGCCGATGACGCGCTTGCAGCCCACGACGTGCTTGGCCAGCTGCACCACCATGGAGCCTGTGGCGCCGGCTGCGCCCGAGACAACGACCGTGTCCGAGGGCGACGCCCGCGCAATATCCATGAGCCCGTAGTACGCCGTCAGCCCTGTGCCGCCGAGGGCGCCGACAAAATGTGTAGGCCGGATGCCAGCGCTCTCGTCGGCCTGGATGGCCCGCACGGCTTTCGCGGGTACAACTGCGTATTCGGTCCAGCCTACGGTACCCACGACGAGCTGGCCTTTGGACAGGCTGGCGGCATTGGACTCGACGACTTGGGCGATGGCGCCCGAGCGCATTACTTCGCCTTTTTGCACCGGTGGCACGTACAGACGCTCTGGCTCGATGGTCGGGTCCAGCCATCCTCGTTGCGCGGGGTCGTTGGAAAAATAGAGCGTCTTGATGAGGACTTCATCGGGTCCTGGGGCGGGCAGTGTCGTCGTCTGAAGCTTGAAAGTAGCGTCTTCGCCCTCAAGAACGGGGTCCGCGTGAGGATGCTTCGCAACGACCCATTGGCGTGTCTCCTGGCCCGGCATATTGCGCTTGCTGGTAGTCTTCTTCTGTCTGTCTCTGTGCTTTCGAAGTGGTGTGGAGAGTTGGTGGTGAAGGTGATGCTGAGCGGCACGTCAAAAGAAGTAGATAAATTGAGTTTGACAAAAACACCCTTGTCCTCCCCTCCCCGGTCAAAACACCCTCCTCTTAAATACCCCCAGCAGCCGAACAAGGCTTGTTGTAAAACGGGGCTTTTACGGTCGTCATCATCATCGTCCAAGGGTAAGTCCATGTCCATGAGCAAAACAGCCGTTGCAAAAGGTAGACTAGCTTCATCGAGTAACCACCAAAAGACACCAAGAACTTATACGGCCAACCTCGGCTTCTGGTAGAATATCCAGTTTTTCTTGCCCACTTTGCTGCGTTGTTACTTGGTGGAAAACCCGTTTCTCGAATCATCTATTCCCGGTTTCCGTTCCGTATCCTGACGCGGCTGCATCTGATCGCGGTGTCCAGGCAGGAGGGATTAGTTTCATTGACTTGTTGGCCGTGGAAAGCTTTTTGACAATGATACAAGGATTGGAGGGGTAGCTTGGAGCTTAAGCAAGGTGGGGTAGTGCTACATGACTCGTAATAGGCCGCATCATACATACAACAGTATGCTCGATGGCGCTTGATTGCTGGCTACGTGTTCTTCTAGAGTATCTGACGACATGGATCATCACTCACCACTTGCCGCTCTTGCCCTTCTTCTTGTTCTTGCCCTTGTCAGCGCCGCCCTTCTTCTCCTGAGCAGCTGGTGTGCCCTTGTCTTCTGCTACTACGCCTCCCTGTGTGAGACCTTCCATCTTCTTCTTTCCTTTTCGTCCCTTGGGCCGATAGTAGCTCCTGTCACGCATTGGGAGCCATCTCTCAGGGTCCATCTTCTTGCCCTCGACATATTCCTTTGGCATCCTCGCCTTGCGTAACCTCTTGGCCTTGGATGGAGCTACATTGGTCGGCGCCTGGCTGCGTTTCCGTGATTCCACTGCGAGGTTGACCGAAGTGAGGTTTCCGAGGGGAACACCTGTTTTTTCGAGTTCAGCAGCGTCAATGTCAGACACTAGACGGTTGGCTTCCGGTAAATATGCGAGAAGGTCTGCCGGTATCGAGGAGGGATCTGTAATGCTGTACGCAGCGACAAGACCAGCAATGGATGCTCGGTCTTCATTGTCCTGATCATACAAGCCCTTGAAGATCTCGCCTGCAGATTTGATGTTATCTGGGTTGTGCGTGTCAAGGAGTGCTGTGCCAGCAGCAACCATGAGAGACTTGGATGGCGCTTCTGTCTTTGACTTGTGCGGTTTCCGCCAGTATTCTGCGGCCTTTGCAAGTTCAGTCTTTGATGCTCCTGGGCGCCCTTGCTGCGCGTATAGAGAGACTAGTGTCGCAATTAGGCCCGGCGCAAAGCGCACGTCAAGATCAGACGCTGAACCACTCTGCTCGAGACGCTTGAAGAAGGATTCCAGAAGGTAGGTCGCAGCGGCGTAGTTGTTCGTGATGACGTATAGTTGTGTTATCGTGAGTATCAGGCCAACGTCATTTGGCCTTTTCTCAAGTAGCGGCAATATCTCTTTCAAAGCAGCTTTCTCAGTGCTTGCGTTTCTAGCGTGTGCCGCTGCATTGAGAACAGCCGCCATGTTGACGGCTGGGGAAAGCGTTGGGGTAGGAGCTGCAGAGATGACCTTTTGGGTCGATTCTGCAACACCTGCTACTTTTTGTGACAGCAGTGAGATGACATATTCATCCTGTCGGAGAATGTTGGACTGGTAGGAGAAGTGTTGATCGGTGACTGGAGGCTGAGGCGACGAGTGGAAGAGGCGATGCGAGAGATAGGGGTTTGAATGTTCTTTTGAGGCAGCAATGCTGTTCACCTGCGCAATGTAGCGGGTCGAGAGTTCTTTGATGCTGGTTCTGTTAGCAATAGTGCAACGGCATTGCTGGGAAGCCTTACTCCGCGAAAGGAATCTTGGTAGCCAGCTCTTCTGCTTCATCAATCTTGCCTAGCTGTATCAAGACGTATACCTGCTGCACAGTGATTGGGAGAAGCTCAGCCTGCTTCTCTTCCTCGCTCATGTCCGAAACCGCATTGCACAGATCCTTTGCGCGCTTTAAGCAGACTTGTGCCTGCCCAAATTCGTTGCGTGAGATGCTTCCGCATGCAGCGTTAAATGCTGTCTCGAAAACCTCTAGGTCCTCGCGCGTGGGCTGTTTCTTCTGTGCCAGCTCGCCCTGCCCTGTCCATTCCAATTGTGCGTCTACGGCCCCGGAGTTGATTCGGATATCGTATTCCTCGCCTTCGACGTTCTGGTCTGCGAGCTCCTTGTAGATCCTTGTGGCCTGAGCAAAGTTCTCCGAGCGATATGCCTGGATTCCATTAGCCACGTATACGCATTCCCGAATGTCTGGCACGTACCGCTTGAGCGAGCATATGCTTCATCCCACGGCCGCCATTTGGCGATGCAGCCTGTGCCACTTCTACAGCCTTGGCCGCATTGCCTGTCTTATACAACGCATATGCATATTCGAATTGCGCCTTCTTCTGGAGTTCTGGCGCGGCTTCAAACACGTGCAAGGCGTCTTCGTATCGGTCCAGGTGCACGAGTGCTACGGCCTTGGTGTGTTGCGCCGCTTGGTCGCTCTTTGACTTTTTCAGAGCCGCATTGGTGGCTTTCAGCACTTCGTCGTGGTCTTCAATCGTGGTTTGTGCAAGCAGCGTAGCGAGATCTTTGGTCGAGGCGGCCATTTTCAATTCGCGCTTTACTAGATCATCCGTCGAGGAATTCCGCCGAGACCTTGGGCGGATTGAAAAGCGCTGGCGGGGCGAATGCGGAGGTCTTGGTGAAGGCACGCGGGGATCGGAGGTGGGATGGTGCAAGCAAGCTCGCCTAGTCCTGATAGTCTGGGCCGTAGGGCTGAAGGCTGACTGGCACCGTCGTCTCTCCTAGATCGTCTTTTGTTTTAGAACAGTCATGTATGAAACTGCAGCATTTGTTATACTTTGATTTCATTTTGAATCTAGAAACAACAGCATACCGAACCCATCTCAAGAAAGCAGTTGGTTTTTGTACAGTAATCTACATTAACACCGTCTTGCGCCCCATGCCTCATCTAGCACAGCGGTATATTGCCCCAAGCCAAACCCACCCGATGCATGTGAAAATACACAGATAATAGCCCCCAGTACCGGCCTATGCTTCTGGTCACGAAAAGAAGATAGCCTTCATCCCAAACGCCCACGCTATGCAGAAAATCAATTCACGTCCTCAAACTCGTCCTCTTCGCTCTCATCTCCCCCGTTTGACGCAGCCGGAGTAATCACTGCTGGGGTTGCGGCAGCCGAGGGCGTGGGAGCAGCCGACGATTCCAACTTGACGCGCTTCGCATCCGGAAGAGCACTCGGCGTACCGACATCAACGTCTTCAAACTCGTCCTCGTCGTCGTCTTCGTCGTCGTCTTCCTCTTCCTGTTCCTTCCTGCGACGCTCGGCCTCGATTTGCGCAAAGACCGCATCGAGGTTTTGGTTGGTGGCAATCGGGTCCCCGCCTTCTATCTTGATTGCGGGTGTGTCTACTCCGTTGTCTTCTTGCTTGACGGCCGCAGCGTTTCCAGCAGCATCCTTGATCACAGTAGACTGAGTGTGCCATGAAGGCAGCTGGTTTTGCATGGAAATCTTCTCCTGGCGAGCCTTCTCTGCCATCCGCTGCTTCTCGTTCTGCTCGGCACTTGATCCAATCTGTACGCTGATCTTCTCTGGACCCGTGTCAATGCCCTTGACAGCAGTCGGTCGTGAGACGGTCGTCTCAATGACCTCAACCTGGGTGCCTGGATCGACGTTCCTGTCGCGGGGTAGCTCAATCCTCTCGCTAATGATATCTGCCGGCTCCATGGCTGGAAGACTGCCCATGCTCTCAATCTCCTTCATGGTCTCAATGAGCGGACCAAACAGCTTGTTGAACTTGGCGGGAGTATCGTCGATATCGTCTGCTTGGGCGTCTGGATCGATCTCGTCTAGTCGGAACCCGCATCTTGCGCAAATGAAACCACTGTCGTCCGGCCCAGGGTTGTCATCGGGGTGGTCCAGTGCCTGCATCGTGGTATATGTCGATTTACAGCGCAAGCACTTGAACTCGGGCTTCTCGGTCGTGGGCTTTGCGTCTCTCTTGATGCCCTCGTCAATCTTGTAGATCTTGTACTTGATCGAGTCGACCGCATGGCGCCAGTCGATGTAGAAGAACTCTCTGCTGGATGCCTTGTTCGCGCCCTGGCGCATGACATGTTGCGTATAGCTAAGCATGTCAGCGGAGGCTAGCAGCAGAGTCAAGACAACCTACGATGAACACAAGCCTGCCTCTCTCAGCTTACCCGCAATCTTACTCACGTGCTTCGAGTTTTTGCCTGCATCCAGGATGATCGTCATGTCAGCCACGGGCAGCGCGCCATGGTAGCAGAGGGCGTCCATGATCACAATGTGTTCGGTCTCGTAGAACATGCGAACTACGGTCCGCAGCAACTGTTTCACTACTTGTACGGGGTCCTTGGCCCTCTTCTCTACAACGTCTTTCATAGCGGCGCCCATGGCTGCGACTGTCGAGAAGCTCCTCAGAGCACTATCGGACGGGCAGGAGAGCAGCGGTGGGCTCAGAGGGCCTTTGTTCGAATGCGCCGGATCCAGGCGCAGACGGTGTGCTTTGACGGGTACAGCCCAGTACGTATCAGAAGCGCCAGCTGTCTTTCTACTTTGTGCGATGACTGCTCGCGTGCAAGTCGACGTGACAGTGGGTGGGTGGATGAGGAGAGTGCAGGTCTGGAGGGCGTAGGCAGCACGTACAAATGGGCATGAAGCTAGCGCGGCGCGGGCGGTGAGGCGCATCTGCCACGCCAAGCCTGGAGCTTCAAGAAAATGGGACGCTGCACCCCCACAATTTACCTCGACCCGTAGCAGCAGCCCTTTCCAAATTCACTACTATTCTATGACCAGCTGCTCCGTATTTGGGGGCAAGCTTTTGAGGAGTTTCCTGCGACAATGTCCGACAACGGAGGAGCCCAGGATTCGTCGAATCGCGACAACGGCGACAAGAAGCGCAAATGGGCAGACCGCGATCGCAGGAATGCTGCAAGAGGAGGTGGACGCCACCAGCATGGAAGCCGTCCGAATAAGAAAAGGAATATGGGGCGTAAGGAACATAAGTGAGCGGCTTTCTGCCTTTCCAGTGTGCGTGTCTAACTAAGCAAGCTCTTCCCAATTAGATCGACGGGACCGCAATGCCGAACAGCAGGCCAAGTATAAAGAACAGGACAAGAGCGGCGAGAATGAGCGCCCGGCTTTACCGGCAGCCTTTCCCGCCGAAGAGGTCGAGGCGGAGGAGCGCAGACCGAAGCGCAAAGTCGCAGTCATGATTGGTTATTCAGGCACTGGCTACAAGGGCATGCAAATCGACTACAAGCAAAAGACAATTGAAGGCGACCTCTTCAATGCATTCGTCGCGGCCGGCGCAATCTCCAAAGCGAACGCATCCGACCCCAAGAAGTCTTCTCTCGTGCGCTGCGCCCGCACCGATAAGGGTGTGCACGCCGCCGGAAACGTCGTATCGCTGAAGTTGATCATTGAGGACGAGGATATTGTCGACAAGATCAACAGCCACCTGCCCGAACAGATCAGGGTCTGGGGCATCCAGCGAACAATTGGATCTTTCAGCTGCTACCAAGCCTGCGACTCCAGATGGTACGAGTATCTGATTCCAACGCACTCATTCCTACCACCGCACCCTTCAAGTTACATAGGCAAGAAACTGGAAGAGTATGCGGAGAAGGAAAACGACCTGGAGGGATACCGCGAGAGGCAGGCTGAAGTCGCAAACTTTTGGCCCGAGGTGGAGGAAAAGCATATAAAGCCGATTCTGGAGTCATTAGATGACTCAATACGGCCGCTCGTCCTAGAGGCGCTATACAACGTTGACGCTGTCGATGCGCCGCCCGGCCAAGACCGCATAATCGATGTCTCGATTGAAAGGGAAGCGAAGGTTGCAAACACCGAAGCCGCTGAAGAGACAGCGAAGCCAGATGATGGTGAGGTCAATATGAGCGAAACGCCCGCAGACGAGGTCAAGGATACCATCGATGCGATACAGCAAAACGAACCTGGTATCACACTCGACAGCTCCGCCGACGGCTCTCGTCCCCTACCCGAAGGCGTCGTGAACCAGCCGGTCCTCGAGGAAGCCATCAAGACGCTCAAAAAGACGTACATTGACGTAAAGAAGGCGTATCGCATCTCGCCCGAGCGACAAGCCCGCGTGCAAGCCGCACTCGACAAGTACCTCGGAACGCACAAATACCACAACTACACGGTGCACAAGAAGTTCAACGACAAGTCCGCCCAGCGCTACATCAAGAGCTTCAAAGTCGCGCCCAAGCCCATCATCATCAACGACACCGAGTGGCTCAGTCTCAAAGTCCACGGCCAGAGCTTCATGATGCACCAGATCCGCAAGATGGTCGGCATGGCTGCTCTCACGGTGCGTTGCGGCACCGATCCCGCCATCATGGACAAGAGCTTCGGCAACGAAGTCGTGCGTATCCCCAAGGCACCGGGCCTCGGCCTCCTCCTCGAGCGCCCCGTCTTCGACTCGTACAACGCAAAGTCAGCCAAGCAGCACGGCCGCGACCCCATTGACTTTGAGCGCTACAACGACAAGATCGAGGCGTTCAAGGAGCGCGAGATTTATCAGCATATTTTCCGTGAGGAGGCCCAGGGAAACCAGTAAGTTGCAACCTCTCGACTACCATCTTCGAGGACCACTATTAACAAAAGGTGTTTTTTTTTAGATTCCACACTTTCTTCACCCACTTGGATAACTACAAGGACCCCCAGTTCCTCTACCTGACATCTGGCGGTATCCAAGCGACAAAGAGGAAGCGCGAAGACAAATCCGCACAGCAAAAATTCGAAGAGGACTCGGAGGATGAGAATGCGAGTGGTGGAGAAGGCTAAGTTAGTTCATTTCACGACCGAAAAAAAAGACCCCCCTGGTGTTTCGGGGTCTGAAAGTACAAAACAATTTTGCATCTTAGCATTGTTGATACGATACCCAACGCACGCGGTTGGTCTACATGCATACGATGGGACGAGTCATGTCTGTTGACAAGAAAAGAAAGAGAGATAAAAAGAATCGAGCCTTGGTAGATTGACAAGGCACATGCTTAACATTCTGCAACCGCTCAGCATCACACAACACAACATAATAACACTCGTCGTGATGCAATCAAAAAAAGAGGTTCCGTTCAAAAAGGAACAAGATCACTCGCTCCCTAGCAGTATACACGCACATGTAGAAAGCCTCTAGGTCCTAGAATTACAATTCCCTTGATTCGCTGCACCACAGAGGCCCCCACGCCTCGTATGTCCGAACCCATAAATTTCATAAAACAGTCATTTATGCTGTCCTGGCGACAGGCTTCTTCTCACCGCCCATGTCGTGCTCGGTGTAGTAGAAGTTCTCCTCGGGAATGCGGCCCCTCAGGAACTCGGGCTCAGAGCCACGGACGTAGATGTCCTCGAATAGGACCTTGCCAGTGGGCTCAGGGGGAGCCATGCTCTCCGCCTCGGCGACCTCAGCATCAACGTCGGTGCGGGCCTGCTTGTCGATCGCCTTGAGCTCATCCTCAGAGGTGACGCCCCAGTCGAGGAGCTTCTGCTTGAGGCCGGCAATGGGATCGTTTGTGCTGCGCATGCGCTGGATTTCCTCACGAGTCTGTTGTCAATTGTCAGCGTTTGAACTTGCATCAGATCCTCAATCAACTTACGCGGTATGTTGTTCCAGGGTCGGACATGGAGTGTCCTCCGTAACGGTAGGTAACGTATTCGTAGACGAGAGGACCCTTGCCAGCAGCGGCATACTCCTTTCCGTACTTGACGGCAGCCTTGACGGCAAGGACATCCATGCCGTTAATCTTCAGACCAGGGATGTACTGACCACGCTTGTAGTAGTCGGTGAGGGCAGACGAGCGGTTAGCGGCAGTACCCATACCGTACTTGTTGTCTATGCTTGGTTAGTAGACTCGACATTTAGTCATGTGGTGTTTTACGCACTCTCGCAGCCGAAGATGACGGGCAGGTTCCAGAGCTTGGCCATGTTGAAAGCCTCGAAAACTTGACCCTGGTTGGAGGCACCGTCTCCGTAAAGGGCCAGGGTGACGTTCTTCTTGTTGGTGTACTGGCATGCGAAAGCGATACCAGCGCCAACAGGGACCTGGGCACCGACGATACCGTTTCCACCGTAGAAACCGGGGGCGAACATGTGCATGGATCCACCCTTTCCGTACGCAATACCCTCCCTCCTGCCGAGCAGTTCACCGATAATGGACTTGACGGTCGCGCCGCGCATCAGGGCGAAGCCGTGGCAGCGGTAAGCGGTGATGAGATGGTCGGCGCGTTCAATGGCGTGTTCGATACCGACGGCAACCGCCTCTTGACCGGTAGACAGATGGCAGAAACCCCGAATCTTCTTCTCCTTGTAGAGCCTGTCGGCGGCCATTTCCATGCGTCTGGTGGCCGCGTTAGAAGCTGAGCATATGTGGGCACATTGAAACTCGGAGTTTTCATACCGGACAGCGACCATGTCGTAGTACATCTGCTTCAGCTCCTTCTTGGTGACGTCCATTGTGTATGGTGGCGGGTCGAGTTCGTATGTCTCAAAGGCCTCGTCCGAGAGGCGGATCTCGAAGGGCTTGTCATCCTCCTGCAGACCGTCAGTCACCCATTGGATCCGCCCGGCCTCTCAATTGGCCGTCTGCGAGCGTTTCTTACCGCAGGCACATTCGCCGGGTCGGTATGCGATGAAGCGGCGTCCGTGGTGACGAACCTGAAGGCGGGGCGCGCAACCGGAGCGACGACATTGCGCCTCAAGGGCGACGCAATGCTCCGCCTAATTGTCCTGGACAGCATTGTGGGAGGCGACGAGGATGTGGGAGGGGTGAGGTCGGGGGTTGACTGCGGTGGTGGTGATGGTTCGAAAAGTTGCTCAGCTCCGCCCAGCTCGGGGATCCGCTTTCGCGCTAAGCGATTAGGCTCCGCCCGACGCCAAATCTCACCACGTCCCGATCTTCTCCGACTCCGCGCTGCATCTGCCTCAACATCTATTTTGGACCCTTACGTGCATTCAATGTGCCGTATATGCCTGCAGTCTTTTACTTGCCGGCTCTATATTCTCTGCGCATTATCAATGCGTGGTTGACTGGCTGCGACAATGCACTCCAGGTAGACAGCACGTGGATATTGCGGCCCCCATGGACGCCAAAAGCAAAGGGTCCAGTACGCCATCCGAAGAAAAGGCCGTCCGGCACAATACTTTCAGGGACGACAAAGCAGCTTTGGAACAGAGCCAGAAAATCCTCCGCTAGAGACCAAGACATGAACTTTCCGAGTGCGGATTTCAAGGGTTACTCTGGACATTCATGTGGCGGGGCCGATCTCCGGTTTCCTCGCGTGTTCCCCAAGACTTACAGGAACAACCGCTTACTCAATGGCATTCTGATTCATCTCTCCTACATGGATCCATCGCTTCAAATCGCGTCAAGCCGCTTAAGGAGAATTCAGCATTTGAAATATGAAACTTATCTCCAACAGATGTGACCAAATGGATTCCTCTGCCCCAACAGAATATCCTCCCAACGGGAGGGGCTTCGTTCCTAATCATCTCAGCGTATGACCTAACAAAAGCAATCACGTTGGCCTGTCAGAACACTTCCATCTGCAATGCTGACAAAATTCTTGTCAAGTGTTATTCACAGGCAAGTGATTGGCGACTCATGAATCGCAGTCGCAACTGCAAGGACTGACATATCATTTTGAGCAATGACAGTTACTAATACATATTTACACCGGCATCTCGTGCCATGAACTATGCTGTAGGAGGATCAATGTGTTGCGCCTGGCTCGCGAAAAATTCCTTCTGTGCCAGACACCTCTCGCTCGTGCACTTGGGACACCTCAGCGTCATCTGAGGGCTGCAAGCCTGGCCGCTCTGCAAATGTGTCTTTGCAATATCTGCCAGTGCCTCAATGAAGACACGGTTGTCGTTCAGGCTGTCCACGCGCTTGACGCCCTCGTGGCCTTCGGCATCCTCGCCAATAACCTCCTTGTCGAGCTCATACAGTGTCTCGATGTGGTCGCTGGTGAATGCAATGGGAACAAGCAGCAAGTCCTTCTGTCCCTTCTTCATGTACTCCTTGACCGTATCCGAAGTCTGCGCGCCGAGCCATGGCTGTGGACCGACTTGCGACTGCCATACGAGGCGGTATTTGTACTTCATACCAAGGCGCTGCATGACGGCGTAGACAGTGGCTGCAACCTCAGAGGGGTATGGATCGCCGCGGTTCACCACAGTCATGGGCAGACTGTGCGCCGAGAAGAGAATGACAACGCCGTCCCTGCGCTCAGGCGGGTATTCGGCAAGCTTCTTCTCGATGAGCTGAGCGAATGCTTCGACGAGACCTGGGTGGGCAGGCCATCGATCAATCACACTCCACTTGATTGCGCCCTCGGGCTCAACTTCTTGGCCAGTCTCTCCACCGGTGCGCTTGCCTTCTAACCTTGTCCTCCACTTCCAGAGCTCGTTGAGCGAAGAACCAGTTGTAGAACACGAGTATTGTGGGTATTGCGTGAAGGCTACAGCGCGGCCACCCTTGCCACCACCAAATCCATCAGCAAGCAGCTGCTTGTATGTGTCTTCAGTGAGGGGATTGGCGTAGCGAAAAGCGACGTAGGGCTTGTGCGGCGCTGTCTCGGGCGAGGTCTTGTCGAGAATCTTGCACATCTCTGCAGCTTGGTGTTCAGACCATTTCCTGATGGGCGATCCTCCGCCAATTTCTGCATACTGCTTTTGGATCTTTGGTGTTCTTCTCCGAGCAATGTACGGTCCAATGTAATTTTGGAGGGGTCCAAGGGGGATCAGATCTTTGTCGGCCTGTCTCTGTCAGTCAATGATCGATGGCGCGTGTGAGTGGAAACTGTACAAACAACATGCTGAGGAAACCATGGACCTCATCCGTAGTTGATGGCCCACCCATGTTCATGAACACCATGGCGGTAGGCCCCTTTGATCCGGGCTTAACCGGCGATGGGGCAACCGTAGCATTGCCTCTCCTCCATTGCGCGCTGTAGGATGAGAGGACGGAGGTGGCGGGTGTGATGGAGGTGGCACGCTTTGCAGCGCGAGAACAAGATATCCGCAGAGCCATTGTGGGGTTTGCGACGAGAAAGAAGGCGTCTCGAAGCGTTTTACTCGAAAGTGTCAGCACAAGGCCAGACAACGAAAGTGAATAACGTCGGAACCTAAAGCGTAGGTGGAGCTTCGACCAATGGCGCCTGTCCCGTTGGCAGTGATGACGATCGAGGCTGAGGATCGGATGCTCGGAGATGCCCCACTGTGGCTCAGTGTCACGTGCAAGCGTGTTGGAGCTAAGACGCGTGCCTACGGTTGCCTTGGTCTTGTCCCGCCGCGGCAACGTCCAGGCGACAATTGCACGCCTTTGTTCCTACTGCACACCGAAAGTAGTTATAAGTCAGCCAATTCAGCACAGAGTTCTTGAAACTGCCACAAGTCGCCCTAGCTGTCATTGAATCCAACTTCTGTATCATGGCGGACCCGCAAGACCACCGCCCAGGCGAAGAGGAAGACGAGGAAGAAGAGGAGGAAATCGACGATGCCAGCTACAAAACCATCAAAGATGCCGTTCTCTTCGCCATCGATGTTAGTCCTAGCATGCTCGAAAAACCACCAAAGTCAGAGGACAAGAAAGCCGAGCGCGACTCACCAACCTCTGCTGCGCTGAAATGCGCCTATCAATTGATGCAGCAGCGCATCATTTCGAATCCAGACGACATGATGGGCATATTGTTGTTTGGAACAGAAAAGACAGACCTCAAAGACGGCGACAGTACTTTCCAACACTGCTATCTGCTGGCCGACCTCGACGTTCCTTCAGCGCAAGATGTCAAGAGGCTAAGAGATATAATCGAGGATGAAGAAGAAGCTGAAAAGATATTGAAGCCAGCAAAAGATGGGGCCAGCATAGCAACAATGCTCTTCTGCGCAAATCAGATCTTCACCATAAAGGCTCCAAACTTCTCATCACGGCGTCTCTTTCTCGTTACCGATAACGACTATCCAGTCAAGGCCAAAGCAGACAAGGAAGCTGCAATCACTCGCGCAAGAGACTTGTACGACTTGGGCTGTACCATCGACCTGTTCCCCATTTCACAGCAGGACCACAGCTTCGATCGGTCACGCTTTTACGATGACCTCGTCTATCCGACATCACCATCAGATCCAGACGCACCAGTTGCTATACCCTCTACCACGAAAGTCGCAAAAAGCGGCGAGGGCATTTCACTTCTCAAGCAACTCATCTCCTCGATCAACTCGAAAGCCACACCCCGGCGTGCTCTCTTCTCATTGCCATTGGAACTAGGTCCCGACTTACGAATTGGTGTCAAGGGATACATTATGATCAAACGCCAGGAGCACGTCAAATCATGCTATGTCTGGGTTGGCGGAGAAAAGCCACAGATCGTCACTTCTTCAACCACACACATGGCCGACGATACCGCCCGCACTGTCGAAAAGACGGAGCTGCGGAAAGCCTACAAGTTTGGCGGGGACGCAATACTATTCACGCCTGAAGAGATTACCAAGATACGGCAATGTTTCGGTGACCCCATCATCCGCATCATTGGTTTCAAGCCTCTCTCCAGCGTACCCATCTGGGCCAACACCAACAAATCCACCTTCATCTACCCCTCTGAAGCCGACTTTATCGGCTCCACGCGCGTCTTCTCAGCGCTCCAACAAAAACTCCTCAAGTCCAAGAAGATGGGCCTAGCATGGTTCATTCCCCGGCGCAACGCCGCGCCCACGCTCGCCGCCCTGATTCCAGGCGAGGAGAAAACTACCCCAGACGGCGAACAAGCCATGCCGCCCGGTCTCTGGCTGGTCCCGCTTCCCTTCGCCGACGACCTACGCCAGTTCCCGCCACAGCCCGAAGCACCCCTCACAACCACGGACGCGCTAACCGACAAAATGCGTCTCATAATCGAGCAGCTGCAGCTCCCCAAGGGCATCTACGATGCCTCCAAATACCCCAATCCCAATCTGCAATGGTTCTACCGCATCCTGCAGGCGCTCGCCCTCGAAGAAGAACTGCCCGACCACCCAGATGACAAAACCATTCCGCGCTTCCGCCAGATCGACAAGCGCTGCGGCGAGTACATTGAAGCCTACGGCCGCGAATTCCAAGATGCATATGCCCAGCAATACAAGTCTGCGCTTGCGCACCGCGCAAAGCCCCCCGCGAAAAAACGCATTGCCGCTGATCCAGACGACAAGAAACCCGCTCCCAAACGCGTCAAGAAAGAAGCAAAAGTCAAAGACGAAGATGCGAGTGACAATGAAGACGGGGTCACGGATCTGCAAATGGCCAACCTGAATAATAGCGGCCAGATTAGCAAGCAGACTGTTGCAGCGCTGAAACAGTGGCTCGCTGCGCGGGGCCTGAGTGGCGTGGGCAAGAAAGCCGAGTTGCTGGAACGAGTGCAGGAGTATCTTGATGGGAAGGGGTTGTAGTGTGTATTTCTTTTTGGCCTGTATGGTCTCGTTTTCGGTAATGAGTATGCGAGGCGTTGAGGCGTGGAGAGTCGAATGTATGTAGGTAGGTAGGTAGGTAGGTAGGTAGGTAGGTAGGTAGGTAGGTAGGTAGGTAGGTATGTGTCTATGTATTTTCTGGGGCCTTCTCAGATGCGAGATTAGAGATTCCCGCCTATCTTCTTCTTCTTCATCTGTGTACGCATGCACGTAAGTAAGTAGAGTTTCTTGCTTCTGCTCCGACTGAGAACTGGTCTTTCATTGATGCTACAGCATGACGAATGGCCAACGGTATCGTGAAACACATAGACACTTGTCAAGTCTTTCTTATTTCCTTTTCTGCTCAGCCATGCATTTGATATGTCTGCCTATTCCTCACATTTTCCTCGTTGAAACAGCAAGTTCATTATGACATTAGCAATGAGGGAAGAACTTGATATGTTGCTTCTAAATCCATCTCTAGGATGACCTAGAGACACAATACAATACCTTGATATTTCGTCTATGTAGAGTACAACAAGTGCTATGTATGCTAAATTCAAAATCCCAACATGCATTTTTTGGACAAAGGAAAAGAACGATTATGAAGGATGTATATGGTTGCCTCTTGTGCTGTATCCCCCGCCCCGCGCGGTTCGAGTATTCTTGTTTTGTTCTTCTTCTTGTTTGCTTGCCATGTCGTCCGCGGCACGACGACTGGCCTGTTGACCAGAGGATAGGGATTGACTTAATCTTCTTCTCGGCCCAGTCCTTGTTTTCTGTGAAGACGCTTCCGAAAGACCATAATATACTGTTGTAATTTGTATGCCGATCGGGGGGATGGCGCAGTGGTGGAGCGCCTGGAAAATTTTCTGCTGTCTCACGTCAGCAAAGATCGAAGGTTCGAATCCTTCTCCCCTCACAACCATATTTATGGTCCACCCACATGAGAGAGTTACTCATTAAACTACCTATTCGACTGAGAGAGTTACTCGTTAAAACTTGAGAGGAAGACTCATTTAAAGTGAAAGATCTGAGAGAGTTACTCACTAAAAAACTACTAGGCTACGAGCCTCACCTTCATTTAGATAACCCCCTACATTGTACCTACTCAATTTGTACCTAGATTAAATTCTAGCCTACGTAGTTACTTGCAGGCCTTAAGCCTGCACGTCTTATATAGCCCTTTGGGCTGAGAAAGGACGTTAAACTACAATAATAATAATAATAATAATAATTGTATGCCGATCGTGAATACCCGAGTGCAGCAACGATGGCACTGCGGTGAAGGAGAAGAAAGGCTCATCATGTACAGTGAATAAATGTATGTACGGCGAAGAAAAAAGAAACCCGGGAACAGGAATGAGCAGGCTGTGGCATCACTCCGCAGGAGGAGCCACAACGGAAAATGTATGTGTGTCCATGTCGTATGAGATCCATCGGTTGTACTGTAGTGAAGCAAGTTAGTAGGCAATCGTACCAGTCACCAACAAAAAACCGACCTTTGCAAGTGTATAGCCCAGCCTCAACACCCTGTTGATACGATTCTTGACTGTGCTTGCCAGCTCGAGGTATCGCTCCTCCTCGTCCAGCTCCCTGTCAAACCACTTCTTGGGAAAGTAGTCTTCTACCCAGACGAGTCCCCTGACGAGATAATCTTCGGGAAGCGGGAGCTCGTCTTTGCGTTCGTCGGCTGCCGGGAACAAGTTTGCAGCGAGCAGGGCGTTGATGTCTGCAGTCGTGTTCTGAGAAGGTGTTTGCATGTGGTTTTCTTCGATTTTTAAGAGTGCGTTTAGGTAGGCGGCCAGGTCGGCCCAGGGAATGTCGTTGTTGAGCGTGGGGACGTATGTGCTGGAAGTGAAGGAAGCGAGCGACGAAAGGAAACAAAGCGTGATGTGCACGTGAGGAAGCACGTTCTTGTCGCCGAGACGACGGAGAGCAAGAGCAAACGTATCGTTGAAGAGAAGTTTAGCGTTCTTAAAGGTCCGTCGCGAGGCAAGCTGGGTGAGGTGCTCGTTGATCTCGCCTGGTGCGACGGTAGGCTGAAGGGGATCCTGCTGGTCGACTGTGGACGCTGTGCGTGGCATGTCTTCGATAGTGGTGGAAGCCGAGTTGTCTGTTTTGGCTGAGAGCTCAATGAGGAAAGCTTGCCGCAAGGCATTGCTGTCAGTTCCATAATTGAAGAAGCCGGCAATGTTCGTAACAGCAATGTATACGCCCTGGTCCTTCCACTTTGCGGCCACTCGACCAATGTGATTGTCGAGGTTGTCTAGGAACTCAGCCTTGGCCCCCAAGAACTCGTCTGATGGCTCCTCCTCCTTTGCCGAAGATCCCGAAAACTGGAGGCCATGTGATTTAATAAAGCTGGAATCAATCGGGAGGGCGTGGGTAAAGCTGGCGGTACTGCGACCGAGGATAGGATCCAAAAGCGTCAGGATTGACTCACGTGCGTTTCCAAACGGCCGAACGCACGTCAAAGACCGAGAATAGTAATACATCTGCAGGAGAGCGTTAGGACGCGCCAGAATTGCCAGATGATGGTATAATCGTCCCACAGTCGGGTTCTTGTCTGCTGCTTTTGTGTACCAAGATCGCGCGACGCCAGCCCAAGTGTCGCGGTCACGGACGTCCTCATCCTCGATTGCCATGCGGTACCTCCCAAGATCACCCAAACACTCGATCCAGGTGTCTTCAAAGGCGGGGACAGTCTCGTACAGCAAATCCATCATCTGGTACGCCAAATAGATGAAGGCCAGCATGTAATCAATACTATCAGGAAGACGTCTCCGCAGTAGCTCCAAAAATGAGTGTATGCCATGCTTCCACATACGGGCCGGCATGGAATACTTGATAGCCAAACGACGCAGAGCTGGCGAGGCAGAAGGATGCTGGCTAGCTAAAAAGAAGTCATGATGCTCATGTAAGAGCGTACGATGCAGGGCAATCAATGCCTGCCAGTGGTCAGGTGGCAGCTTTGTATTAGGGTCCTGTATTGCAGCCACCTGGGCGCGGTCAACATGTATACACTTAGTTTCGACCATGGTGAGCCCAGCGTAGATGCTCTTGACTTCAGATGCAAGTTGCTCTTGTGAAATAGGACGACTGTCAGGTTGCATTAACAAGTCAGGATAACGCGGGTCATGGCGCTGGAGCTCAATGATGCCTGGTTGGCGAGGAGCATTGCGGGGTTGGGGGGCGCTTCGTTGTTGTACGTGAGCCGGGGATTTAGATTGTGGAGACTGGAAGTTAATGCTTTTGGTAGCTTCGGCCGACCACTCGCTTGATGGCTCGGGCGTAGAGTGGTAAGGAGATGAGGCGCCTTTGGTATCTTGCTTTGGGTCGAAGAGCCGAGGATCTTGTGACTTTGGCCTTGTCCTATCCCCAGGAACGGTGTATGGAATTTTTCTTGAATAATCCGAGTCAGCCACCTCGCCATGAGTTTGGGCTTTCCCCCTCCTTCCAACCGCCTCTTGGTCTGCTGGCCGTTTTTTTCCCAATGGAGGCGAATTTGTACCAAGTGCTTTTCCCGAGTCTATGGTGAGGTTTCCAATGTCAAGGGCAGACCGGTCGCCGGCGGTTGCGTTGGACGAATGATCACATGGCCTGTATTTTGCAGCCAGTTCCCGGATTTTCCTGCGCGCATGCTGCAAGTGCAGCCCCTCAAAGTCGGAGGAATGTTCGGCCTTGCCGTGTTGGTATAATTGCTCAAAGGTTTGGAATACACGGCCCTCATGCTCTGGATACGGGCAACGATGCACACTAGTGGCAGCCAGTTCGGCCTTTCCTTTCTGGGTCCTCAGCGCCTTGGCGAACTGGGACTGGATGTAATCGCCTGTGTTGTCCATTCTGTAGCGATGTGCCTCAGGTGTAGTCGCCCGGTTGATGCTGTTTTCGTCTGCGTATTTGACGCGTATCAAGCGATCTCGAGCGGTGTGATATGATTGGTGGTCTTGGATACGACACCCACATAACCCAAGCGTCTGTATGTGCGCACTCGAGATGAAGTTGAGCCGAATACTCACCCAGTCCAGCTATCGCACTTTGCACGGAGCTGTATGCTGCTGAATTTGCGCAGTTTGCACACAGAGACGCTGCCAAGCGGGGAGCTGGTGGGGGCCAAAAGCAGGTTGCGGGGCCGTGGTTGAAAGAAACCGGTGAGGGCCGATGGCGACGTTTCCGGCGACAGCACAGCGACCTCGCGCGCGATGAGATGAGCGCCCTGAAGATAGCAAAAACGTATTGTTTACGGCGCGAGGAGCTGTTGTTCTTGTTGTTGTTGTTGTCGCATTGTTGTGAGTGTGTGAGTGTGTTGGCCTTTAGTAGGTGAGCACATACATATACATGCGGCTCAAGTGGCCGCCCACCAGGCAGCAGGCAAAAAAAGGCAACCACGGACCCACATTTCACTTGCATGCCAATTCCGGATTTCTCCCGCACCACCACAATTGCACATGCATCTTACTCAAGTCCTCCAGCGTCTCAGCCCTCTGTCAGGCAATGTGGTGGGCATCTGCCTGTTTGTGAGCTCGGCGACTTTTCGCTCAACCCACCCGTACGCAGGTCGCTGTACCAAGCTCGACAATTCTACTACCACGACGAGGCTTTCATCCCATAGCCCCAGAGCACCCCAAAGCTGAATCTATTGACCAAGAACCACTTGTTTCTCGCTCTGACTCCAGCCGCGATCCCTCAAGCTCGACCAAGGCCAACCACCAGAGACTCCTTTGGAAAGCCACAGCAACAAACGCTGCTGGAGTTTCAAATTCTACAAACATGTAAAAATGATAGGCCAGACCATCTCACAGGATTTGCTAACACTGGAACAGGGAGGCTGCCTGAGGACAAAAGGCAGACATATGAGCAGTCTTCTCCTATTGGAACAGCTGGAGACCGGCATGGTACTATGCGCGCGTCAAGTGTGGCACAGAAGCAAATACCCACCACCTCATCATAAGAAATCGAACAGTCTCTAACTGTATTCGGCCTAGTACTGTTCGATTTCTTTCGATGAGGAGGTGTACCTTATTTCCCCACCCATGCCACGTAACGCAATCGTCATTGCAACCGCACGCTGTGCTTCATTGAAATGTCCATATTCCAATCAGAGTCATAGGTCCTCCAATGCTCTCGCCAAAGCACTGAGAGACTGTGCCTGGAGAATGTACACGTGGTGAGATGCGAGATAAAGGCATGCACACTAGTCACACGAGTTTGGCTCAAACCAGAAAAGAGCAGAACACTTCATCATTCTAGTGTCACCAGTCAGACAACTACTCATCCGCATGCGGATGCAGCAAACAACACATCCTCTAGACAGGCTTCGCGGCTGCCCAAACTTCGTATCGAAGAGCCATTTGCTGCGGCAAGGGCGGTTTCTTCGGCCTCGCGAAATAATCTTCCGGGCAAATCCAAAGTAATATCAAGAGCGCTTTCAGCCTTTACGGTCCTTCTATGGCGGACTTCAGCCCAATCTCTGGGGCTAGTAATTGAGACAGGGCAGGCATTAGTCCATCTACCGAACTATACAATTACGCCTCAGCCTATGTACGATTGTGCTACCAATCAGAAATTGGCCGGTCCGGGCTAGTAGATCACAAATTGGCGTATTCACTACAACGATACTGTACCTTGAACTTGGGCAGTATTATGGTACTATTACATCATGCTAGTTGGTATCCTGGCCGAGGACAGAAGATTATAGCATCACTACCTTATGGTTCTCTAAGGCATCGCTACCAGTTTTAGATTTTCAACTGACGTATCTCAGCTCTCAGGACTATTCTTGACAAACTCAACGTTGCGAATATCACGTCGGAGTACCCTGTCCTCCATGCGATCCTAAAGGATTGAAACCCCCAATATGTACAATTTCCAGAAGCAGAACACCGGCGTCACACCATTCTAACATGTATTCATCATCATTTCCAAATATTCTTCCGGCCTCGTTGGTCCGGCGGGAAAAGTAGTAAGAGATAACTTGGCGTTGTCGCAGGCGTAACTAGGGTTTAGTGATCTTCGTCTACTATGAGCGGCCTCCCTCTGGCGGCTCAAAAAAACGCTGAAATAGCTAACTCGTTACAGCTAGCGAGAGATGGATTACTTTTGAGCAGGTGGTGCTTCGGGCAACACAAGGTTTCAGCTGGAGTCAGATGCTGGAGTCACGCTTGTCAGAAGCTCGCAAGTCTCGATGAAAGAAGCAGTTTTTCATGTCAAGCCATCCAGTTGCCTCTACTGTTGCTTTGTCGTCATGGAATGTGCCATGGTGGTACAGGAAGGGTGCGGGGCTGTATGCCAACGCAGCCTGATTTCCAGCCACTCGAACAAGGCCACCGCGGAACTCGCCCTGTACTCCGAGATTCTGACGAACTCTACGAGTCACCAAGCTTTTGGAACGGCGTCTAGATGACGAATTTCATCACACGACCTGGAGTAATACTCGTTGAGGTAATTTCTAGGGCAACAACCACTAGGCTTATCGCAGGCAATAGGTTGGAATGCGAGCCTCTCTCCGCCGATTTAAACTTTCTAGTAGCGCTAAATACACATACGGTAGGGCTGACCAATGCGGTTCCGCAAGGGCAAGACCTAGAGGACGCCTCACATGTCAAGCGATCATCTGGCCGGGAAACATGAGCTGTGAGTGCAGCCATCATGTATGATGCAAAACAAGCAATTCTCGACTCAGCTCTGGGTTTGAATGTGGAAGAGACATACTTACGCCTGGTAGTGTGATTAGACAAGGCACACCCATTGCATGTCTGAGATCATTACATGCCTCCGATAAGCGCTGTTGTGACAGCTGCATATCTCCGGGATGACTAGGCTTCAGCAAATCACTGCCGCAGTGACAATAAGGCTGAGTTTTCACCAGATTGTCACCCACATTCCTAATCCCAATCAACAGCCTTATTGTGACGGCGCAGCATATACTGAATTGTATAGACAGACTCGTCGTAGTCTATTGGCAGGCTAAGATCGATCTAGGCGTCCAGTCCTCTCCGTTGGCTGGGAGCCACATACCAGGGCTGAAAATTAGTGCCCCTCAACCCCAAGGACCAACCATGTGGACCAAGTATGCTTTCAGGACCCCTCACTGCCTTGTTTCGGCAACATCGCCTTTATTCGACCGGCCTCTCGCGCCCATGGTATTCTGACCCCCTCCCTCCCAGCTTGCCTCCACCACTCGATCACCTTGAGCGACAGACACATATCACCACACCGTCAGCCTAGACACAGTAAGAATGCGAAGGATCTGGAACAAAAACAAACGGTCAACTGCATATGCAGTATCATGCGCCGAGGCTGCCTAGCTGCCTTCTCCTCATTCCTAACCCGTGTCTTTCGTCATGCGCCAAAAGCACGCAATCCGCAATACATTCAATCACCGATCCACGCTATTTTATCACGCGACGTGGGAGGCGTCGACACTGTTCCGTTTGCGTGAACCTGATCTTCTTATCTGCATGAATCGTGGGACTCGTCGCAACCGAACCTCTTTCAGCCCTATTCCTGCCCCTCCCATTATCTCATGATGCAGAAAGAAAAAGAGAAGCACATACCGTCACTGTTCCCGTCGGTTACACTGCATAATGGCTTACGCATGGACCTTCCGGGGCCAAGATGCTAGAAAAACACGCGTCTAATCCCGGCTTTGGAAGATGATTTACCCGTCCTTGGGTGGTCGTTCCCGTAAGCCGGGAATATCAAGGTGGGGTATATGTTGTATGTATGCGGGAGGTACAAATGTAGGTGTTACAGTATGCATCCGATGGAAACCTATCGGTACATTTGCAGTTTCGGGTCCCAGCCACCCAGTGCCAGCGCTAGGTTACTTACTTCTGCAGCGTTGAGAAAGCGCCGATACTTACACGTGCTATAGGAACTTGGACCATGTCCATATGTCAGTATGTAGGTGTATGTATGCGCTGTACGCTTTTTGACCGCAATTTCACACAGCAATTCAGAAGGAATGCGTCCATCACCTTTGTTTTCCCTCTTGACATCGACTCTACAATTACTTTTTCCGCCCACGTAGGCTGGGACCAAGTCCATCGCCATACATACTAATCGGTGTGCAAATCAAACACGTATTATGTAGCAACCACATCGGCTGCGCGGAGAAACCTCTCCGAATCCTACACAGACACTATACCAATAGCAGTTCCCGATTCTTTATGCCGATACCACAAGCGTCTCAGCCTATTCCCATATATGTCCCTCAGGCTCACACATCACAAAGCAAGGGTTTGCACAGTCACAGTTATACTAACAGCAAGGCAGAAAAAACCCCCGCCATAATCAGGCAACAACGTGGGCCTCCATTTCGGTCTCTTACTAAAAAAGAACCCCTGTTTTATATGCAAGGCCACCTGCGGCTCTGTACGGTTTCCATAACCCCCCTGCATCTCCCAATCACACTTCCATCACCAACCCACCTATGCGCATTTTGGGGGCCAAAATAGAGGTACGTAAGACGATGCACACTGGTGGCGTTTTTTTTTGATTTCTTGGGAGGCCCCCACAGCGGGAGTGCACGCGAGGCTGGGAGGTGGGTCCGTTCGCACGGGATCTTTTTATTGTGTTTGTCCGGGATTGGATGGAAGGGGTGTGTGTGGGTGGGTGGGTGGATAAGCGGTAAGCGGTAAGTCAGTGTAAGCAGAGAGTAGTTCGCAGATTTGCGAACCAGATTTGCCTGGTTGCCTGAAGTTTGAAAAGTATCCCGGAAGCACACTCAATGGCGAGAATAATTGGTGCCCCCCTTTCTCTCTCTCTCTCTCTCTCTCTCTCTCGCGGCTCCATGGCTCGCTTACACACGGGGCGTTTGTCGCGTACGATACGCCCTGCTGTCTGTGCACATATTCAACAAGTCGCATCTTTGTCCTCGATGGGATGTTGTTGGATTTGGGGTTTCAGCCCCAAGTACGTGATGGTGTGGTATGTAGTCATGATGGCTCAGCCGCCCCACCTCCCCCAATCATCTGACTATTTTCCTCCCCCATACGCGTGCGCGCGGGTCATTACTTTAAACCCGTGAGTGCGTGTGTGCGCATATATTCTGCATGTCTCATTCGGAGCGCCCGTGAGTGCAGAAAACGGGGCTACCGTTTGCTGCATCAGGGGATATATAAAGTCCCCGAGCTGGTGGCGGAGGCGTATAGTAGGCATCAGAACACAAGAACCCCCCCCCCCTTTTTTCCCCTTCTTTCGAGAGAAGTGCGGAGGGTGGCCTGGAAAAGGTAAAGCTGGAACCTTAAAAAAAAGGGGGGGGAAGGACGAGGCTGATGAGGATCATGATGATGATGAGGCCTGGATATTGGCCCTCCGCTCCCGTACAAGCTGAAAACGGCAGTTTGTATACGAATACTCACTCATTCGATCTTTCTGTGTGAATTGGGGGAAGGGGTGGGGGGTTATGGTTTAGCCTACAAAAAAAAAGAAGCGGCTTGCTGGGTAACTAGTTACTTCACAGCGATATCCATATCCATCCATGCAAACCTATGCCTTGAATACCCGCAATCGCAAGCCACCATCTCCATCTCCATCTCCATGTCCAAGTACAACCGCCGACTTTACCGGACGTCCTAACCTGTATTCCGCCGGAACGGGGGAAAACGCCCATTTTTCTTTTTCTTTTTCGGATCGTCGCTAGACCCCCCGTACTTACTTACATGTGCTTACGTACCACTACTTACCCACTAACTTTTCGGCCAAGTACGTATGCACGTCATAAGTAAGTAGCCCAGGCGGTGAGCACTAGCCCCGGGGCGAGTATCTCGTAAGTAGTTCCAATATTCCATACTGTAGTAGAATCCTAGTCCTGGTTCTGGCCCCGGCATAGCCCGCTCGCCTATCGCATCAAAGTAATGTATGTACAGTAGTCCTGCAGGCACCGTCTCGCGGGGGCGGCTAGCGTGGTGCCTGTTTACCTTCGTTCACCGGACGGTGGCGGGCGGGGGGGCGGGGGGGGGGGGGCGGCGCGGCACGGCATAAAGGGAAGGCTTGCCGCGGGAGGTATACTTATGTCTGTGTGTTGGGTGTATGAGTCGTTAGTTGGTTACTGTAGTTGGTTGGATGTGTGTATATGTGCCTTTTCAGCTTCTTCTTGACTCGTAGGAGAGAGAAAGAAAAAAGGCGCGGACATGTTATACGCACTCTCCGATTTGAGAGCTTGGGGAAAGGGAAGAATTGGGAGATGGTGTGCTGATGGTGGTGCGTAAAAGTCATTACTTGATTTTCCAATTATTTCTCTGGATATGATGGAGGTTTGCTCGGCTGGGGGAGTAAGGCAAAGGATGAGGAATTTAAGGGGTTAGAGGTCTTCCCCTCATTTTCCCATTGTTCCTTTCTTTTTTTTTGCTCTCTATTTGATCTTGGGATCAAGATTGAGTGTCCTTCCTCCCGCTTGTTGCCCCTTGCGATCAACTTTCGCCCGTGGCTTTCTTGGAGAGAGCGAGGCTGACAAAGGCGCAGTATATATATAGGCCCACTTCCTTGGTTCTGATCTCATTGCCCAGTCTCAGTTTCTTGGATCACATTTAGCTGCGGCGCTGGCTCTGGCGCTGGCTCTGGCTCTGTCTCTCGTGCTGACCACCTTAACGTTATCCTCAGCAAATAGTAAACATCACAGTAAAGCTGCAGCAATCACACAGCCTTGCTTTACGCGTTCCTCCAAAAACAGCATCTTCGCCACGCTTCTGCAGCTGCAGCAAAACAGCCACACGGCGCTGACGACGATGCGAGTGGCTGTGCTGCTCACATTCTCACACTAGCGGTCGCAAAGGTAACGATAAATGGCGTGGCTTGGATTCCTGAAAAAGACCCGAGTACAGGATCCTTGTTTGTGCGTGGTGTTCTGACAAGTCTCCTGATTTTCTTTCTTCTCTTCTAAATGGACAAGGAGACTGGCTAGGTCTGTGATTATGGCGGATGCAGGTTGAAGCCGTACATGAGCAGAGATGATCAACGGGAAATTTGCGCAGTGGAATGATGCTGGAGGAAATAACACTAGAACAGCTAGTTTTAGACGGTGTCGAGACAAGTGCTGATGCGGATGAAGATTATTCTTAGTAGATATTCCATCCGACTCGCCAGCCATGGTGGTTTTCTTTTGGGGATCTTGCAAGATTTGGAATGTTCTTCTCAAATAGGCAAGAGAGGTGAGTTTCGGAGGAGTTACTCTATTCGGGATATCATCATCTGTATTCGCTGTAGGTAGGTCTCGGAAAAGAATTAAGCAATGACGGATAAGTAACGCATATTGGATGCGCAACGCTCTGCAGGAGACCTATAATTTCGGATACCTGAAAAACCAGCACATGCAAATTCGCATGGACAGCTCCAAATTTTTTTTTTGCAAAAGTTGAAAGATGTGCATGTAGTATTAGAGGACTGCAAAAGAGGGGGGATCGCACGAGTGGATGATGACATAATCAGAACTCGCCCAGCCGAGGTGAACATGCCGTTCAACGTCCGAGATTGCAAGCTTGTCCGACACTAAGGCAAGCATGGCAGCGCAGAAAAAAAAAGGGCCGACAAGGCGACTGAAAGCAATCACGATTCGCAGGCCAAATGGTACTATAATCAACGGCCCGTCCGGAACGTGTCACGTCGTTAGCGCGCAAGGCAGGAAATGGGCACTGTAACAAGGACTTTGCCCAACTGTTCGGAGGGGAGTCATTTCTGCACCAGGACCAGTCTGTATAGTACAGACGCTCTTTTGTCCAACACGTCGCCCCGCATGCCCTTATCCGCGCTCAGCGAGCAGCAGCAAGCCTTCATCTCCAGCCGCGCCAGAGTGTGGGAAGTCCGGCGATTTTGCCAGGTGTTGCCGTCTGTCGCCCAATACGTGCGCGGCGCAGACTCGCACTTGATAAGCAGCAGCAGCAGCAGCACGCCACTGAGACCGCATCAGAGGTTCTCTGCTAATGAGCCCGATGGCGCCCTGGCCGCCTTGCTGCGCTGCCTGGTGCACCGAACGGGCGCCGACTTGGCCATGGTCAGCTTATTGGACGACCACACTCAGTATTTTGTGTCTGGCGCCAGCCGGACTAACATGCATGATGTAAAAGTTACACTAGGTGAGTGTGGCCGACCCGAGGGCTGTTCTCGCGAGAAGACGCGCTATTTGTAATCAAGCGACTCACCCGAGACAGACTCGACCAAATGGTATGGCTGCGAGTCAGTGTCCCACCATGGCGGTTTGTGCGAACGCACCATTACGTTGCAGAACCGGCCGGGCAACATGGCCATGTATGAAGAGCTCGACATGGCAAAGGTAGAGAGAACCAAGAACCTCACGTTTGTGCAGGGCGATGTCGCCAAGTTCCGGTACTATGCGGGCGTCCCGCTAAACCCATACCACGGCCCAAACATTGGCACCCTCTTCATCTTTAGCGAAGAGCCGTCGGAACAGGGGCTCTGTGCCACAGACCGTGCCTACATGTTCGAGACAGCCTCGCACATTACAAAGTATCTTGAGCAGGCCGTCGAGGCGCTCGAGGGCAAGCGAGTGCTGACATTCAACAAGAGTGTCGCCTCGTTGCTCGACGCCGAAGCATGCACTCGAGTAGCCACTGACACAGCAAATGGACTGCCTCTTGCAAATTCCCATCACAAAGAGCTCATGGTGTCAAACTTGTATACTGAGCCCATCTTGCGCCTGTACCGCCTGGCCGCCACTCTCCTCCATGATACCTTTGACTTTGACGGCGTCAGGATCCAAGAAGTAGACCCGTCTGGAAGCCATGTCAACCACAATCCCGATTGGAATGGATCCAAGGTGTTGGCCCAGCACATGGAGCCCATGGAGCAAGAGCCTGGAGATCCATCGCCGGCGTTGACAGAGAGGCTACTGGAAATGTTCCCGCAAGGCTGCATCATGCAAAAGCTGGAAGACTCGGACGACATTGTTGCTGCCACCAGCACGGGGCGGGTGGTTTTTGTCGTCGACGCCCTCCTAGCCACTGAGCTACCCAAGATCTTGCCAAAGGCCCAACAGATCATCATCATGCCCTTGTGGGACACGCATCGCGAGCGTAACATTGGAGTGGTGCTTGGCTTTGCTAACAACCAGTCTCGAATCTACCTGAGTTCGACAGATCTCCTGTCCATTTCCGTCTTCTGCACCACGCTTATGACGCAGGTCCGCCGGCTGGAAGTGCAGGCCATGGATAGGATAAAGGCTGATTTCCTGGGCTCCATGTCACATGAAATGCGGACTCCGCTGCACGGGATCCTGTCTGCGTTGGAACTCCTTGCCGACACGCCGTATAGCACTGATCAGCGCGATCTGCTCGAGACAGCACGGTACAGCGGCGTCTTGTTGCTCGATACGATTGAGCGCGTGTTGCATTTCAGCAAGATCAGCTCCACAACGCGGGTGCTGGACGAAACGCGCTCCACTGGATCCAGTGTGCGGACTACGCAGCAGTCGAGTCCGCTGTGTCCGCCAATAGGTGCTACGCCGCACAAGCGGCAAACATCCAAGATGATTGATGTCTGCGAAGACGTTCTACAGGGCGAGGCGCGGAGGCTGCGGCTCAAAGAGTCGATGCAGTCTCAGCTTTCTAGCCATGGCCAGCGCACACACAGCCGGCCGTCGTCGCCTACGCCATCTGCATTTTCGGCTGGACCGAATCGCCATCCTGTTGTATTGTTCGATACCAATACTGCTTTGTCTTGTACGCTCGTGGCTCTGGCTAGCTTTCGGGCGGTTTTCACACACTTGCTAGTAAGAAACATCTGGTGTAGCGCGTGGTATATGCTGACGCCCGCAGAACAATGCTGTCAAGTTTAGTTTCCCGACTGGATGTGTCCGCGTGTCCTTGGACGTGGGCGAAACTTCATGCACCCTTGTCTTTAGCGACGCGGGGAAAGGAATTAGTCCGAATTTCCTTAGATACTCCATCTTCGACGCGTTTTCCCAGGAGGATCCGCTCGTCGAGGGCACCGGACTCGGGCTTTCTATTGTCAAGCGCACGGTTAGTGCACTTGGTGGTCATCTGAAGGTCGACTCCAACGAGTCGCGTGGCTCGACTTTTACTACCACTTTTCCTTCAAATCGGGTCGTGTTTGATCCAGGCCATATTGTCGAGCTTGGGGCTAGCAGTTTACCCCGATTGCAGATGAGCCTATTTGCACCGAGTAGGTGGGACAAGGAAGATGGACTGCGAGGTCGCCGATGCGCCGAAATGTTGTCGGAGTCGCTGATGCGGGGATTGAGCCGGTGGTTCCGACCTACCGTGACGCCCTGGGGGTCTGTCAGTACGGATGTGCGGCTGCTGGTGGTGTTGGAGGAAGACGTGGCGGATGCCAGAAGGAGATTTGGCGGAGCATTTGACTACACCAAGTGTCTGGTGCTTTGTCCGGATTTTCACACCAGTCTCGGCACACTGGAAAATATGGCAACGATTGTAGGCCCTGTCACCTTCTCCAGCCTTCAGAACGCCTTGTCGTGCTTATTTCCTGACTGGGTTACAACCCCCGACAGTCATCATGACGATGATCAGCTGGGTGTGTCGGTGGAAGAAGCAGGCGAGGCTATGCCCGGCAGAGGAAGACGCAAGGAAAAGGCAAATGGGATAGGGCTGGTGGATGGATTGGCCCAGGCGACATCCCGGCTTGCCATTGAGCAGGTGTTTGAGGAGAAGGGCACCATGGACGCTCTGTTGTCCGAGGCGATATCCACCGACAAACTCAAGCACTCGTTGGACGGCACGGTGACTGGTACAGCCCCAGCCAACAACGTGGGCAATGGGGAGCCAATGAAGCATCAGCCCGAAACAAGGCCTCCCATGCTCCCCAGAATCACCATGAAAGACCTGAAGCTGCTGCTCGTCGACGACAATCCCGTCAACCTCAAGGTGCTCAACATGTACGCACGGAAATGCAGCAGCACAGCAGCAACGTCGGTGGACGGCGGGCAGAAGGCGATTGATGCGTTCAGAGAAGCCTTGTCTGCTGGCGACAACAACAAAAGCCATGAACAGCAGCGGTTCGACCTCATCTTCCTGGACCTGTCGATGCCCGAGGTGTCTGGGTTCGACGTGGCGAGGCAGATACGGGAGATTGAGGCACGGAGTACCTGTCAAGCGCGCGTATACATCTGCGCGCTGACGGGCCTGTCGAGCGACAAGGACCGCAATGCTGCGTACGCGTCAGGCGTGGACCAGTATCTCGTCAAGCCGGCGCGACTCAAGGACCTGCAGTGGGTGGTGGGAAGATGGCGAGATAGTTTAGCGCGTGAATGAAAGCGTCGCGACCACGTCGACGACGACGACGACGTTCATCATGGCGGGGTTCTGACGCTATACGCCGAGCAGCATGATAAGACGGCCCCGAAACAGGAGCCGGCTGCCTGTCTTGTTGGCGACCAACCAAGCGTGCTGGACAGCTGACAATTAATAATGTCGCCCAAAATCGTGTCCGAAAGTGGAGGGAGGATTGGTCAGCCTCATGCGGCTTGGACGCATGCTAGATAGGCTTTCGGCAGGTGGACGCGGCCGCCGCCGCGATCTGATTCGCGAAGACGCCAACGTCATGACGATTGTATGATTTGAGGCGGGCGAATCCTCCCCCTACATGTACATGCCCCCGCCTCGCCCAACGCTAGCTGGCGGAATGTCGCTGACAACCCGTCGAGCGCAAAGCAACTCTCTGCCTCCCCTCGTGGCCCCATCACCGTCTTGTCGGCGCGGGCTGTGTACGTGAGTGAGCGAGAGGCGTTCTATTCTTGGTAAGCTGAAGCCGCGCGCAATGTCCGAAGCCGAACATGACTACGGGCGCACCCAGTTACTTACTTGTCATGACGCTACCGTCTCGCGGAGCGCTGGCTAGCCCTCAATGGACACGGCACTAACAGAAGAAGCAGTCGAGTTACAGCAATGCGCACGCCGTCGTGAGCAAAACACCACCCCTCACCCCCCCGGATCCCCACCATCTGCGATAACGACCCCAGCGTCTGCCCCAGCACAGGGTGACGACAAGACCCGCCCCAACATGGCCACCACTACAGACGCAGTCTTCGCCGAGGACGTCGATATTGAGCGCGAGATCCAAGTCCGTGCCAGAGGCTCCAGGAGGTCGCCAAAGTCAGGGGCAGCGTCGCCAGGCCCGGACAGCGACAACGACCACGAAGACGCGCCGCTCCTGAATGGCGCCGCCGACGATTATGGGAGCAACCACGGCGACGGCGACGCAGCCGAAGAGGATGCCTGGGCTGGAGACGCCGACTTCCGAGGCCTTCCCTGGTGGAAGCGCCCTTCGGTAGGCCCATGACGACCCCCCATACCACAACGTCGACGATGGCTGACAGGCACAGATCTACTGGCTCCTCCCCCCGTTTCTGCTCTTCACCACAGCCTTTGGCGGCATCATCGTGCCCAAGATCAACCTCATCATGGATCTCGTCTGCGAGGACTACTACGCCGCGCTGGCAGCCGACCCCATATCGTCGCCCATGGACCCCGGCCAAGATCGATGCCAGAACGACGCCGTTTCCTCGCGCTCCTCGCTCTTCCTCCTCTACGCCAGCCTGTGCTCGGGCATGCTGTCAGCCATTGTCAGCCCCAAGATTGGCGCGCTGTCAGATCGATACGGACGCAAGAAGTTTATGATTGCCAACACGTGCGGCACGCTGCTTGGCGAGATCATTACGATTCTCGCTGCAAAGTTCCCCGAGACTGTGCACGTCAACTGGATCCTCGTTGGCTACTGTCTTGAGGGAATTTCCGGTTCTTTCATTGTCGGCATGGCCTGCGCGCATTCGTATGCTTCCGACGTGGTCTCGCCCCAGCGGCGAAATGTAGCCTTTTCATACTTTCACGCCTGTCTGTTTGGCGGCATTGCCATCGGACCCGTGCTTGCGGGCTACATTATTGATGCGCGGGAAAAGTACGTGGGCAAGACGGAAGCTGTGCTTCTCATCTTCTACATGGCCTTGGGCGCCCACTTCTTCTTCATTGTGTTCCTTGCCTTTTTTGTTCCAGAGTCGCTCAGCAAAGCACGCCAGGACGCGGCGCGCGAAAAGTACTCGGAAGAGCTGGACCGACAGGACCCGTCGTCGGATTGGATCAACCAGCTGCGCTCCGTCAATCTCTTTGGCCCACTCAAGGTTCTCTGGCCCACGGGTCCCGGCTCCTCGTCTGCCGTGCGCTGGAACCTGGCTCTCCTGGCTGCCACCGACACCATCATGTTTGGCGTCGCCATGGGTTCCATGAGCGTCGTGCTGGTCTACACGCGGCGCCAATTCGACTGGCACGAGCTCGAGTCTGGCCGCTTCACCACAATCGCAAACAGCTGTCGTGTCTTCGCTCTGCTCGTCATCCTGCCGCTTCTCACACGCATTTTCCGCGGCAAAAACGGCGCGGCTCGTACGCGCAGCTCGGGCTCTGATTTATTCGATCTCTCCATCATCCGCCTTGCCATCTTCTTCGACATGATGGGATATCTGGGATACGCCGTTGTACGCCGAGGCGAGCTTTTTGCTCTTTCTGGTGCTATTGCTTCCGTCGGTGGTATAGGGTCGCCTACACTTGGGGCGGCTTTGACAAAACACGTACCGCAGGATCAGGTTGGCCAGTTACTCGGCGCCACGGGCTTGCTGCACGCTGTTGCACGCGTTCTCGGCCCAACCATTTTCAATGGCATATACAGCGCCACGGTCGCGAGCTACAGACAGACGGTCTTTGTGTGTTTAGCTGCCACGTTTGGCCTGGCGTTTTTGTGCAGTTGGTTCATTCGTCCGCATGGTACGTTATACCAACATTTCATTTTGATGATTAATGAATACTAACGTGTTTGCAGTCCATATCAACGACGAGAGCAAGTATACAAGACTGGCGCAAGATGAGCGCGATGAGTAAGAAAATTTTGTCGAATTATTGCTGTCTTCATGCTTTGCTAGACCTAGTAGAATGGTTGATTTGGATGCAGAAATGCCCGCTTTTGACACCGTTTTCGCAACTTTTTGATTTTGGTTTGGGAGTTGATTGAATGGAGGATACATATGGTGGTGGGGGGGCAACATATACCAGGTACCGACACATACACGGATGGGGTGATTTTTTTTCTGGCTTTGCATTATCGATGCATGCGCTGTACGCGTAGACCTTTTGCTGCTGTTGCTTGCTGTTTTTATTTTCTGGGATCTTGCAATAATATGTAGTCAGCTGAGAGTACACACACTCTCTCCAAACTCTGCCGTGTACTCAAGAAAACGTTACTATTACTTCACTGCAAGATTTTTGGTCGACTTAGTTGAATTCCGTGCAATACTAACACATGTCACACCACCACCATGACTCCATTTACCTACCTGTCCCTATTTAAGGTTTCCCAAGTATGTGTATACAAACTTTAACATCACTCCACTATTAGCAATCAATCAACCTTACTGTACCTGCACCTGCACCTGCACCTCGCACCCTACCCAGTCCCATCTCATGTCATCTCACCCCTCAGCGATAAGTAAGTATCAGCGTTTCACCCCGCATACACAACGCCAATACACTCCACACCAGTCGTCGTATCTAATGCAGAATCTAGGGAAATCCATCGCAATTTAAGCTTCCCCAGCTGTAGAGAACAGCTATTTTACTAGATTAATATATTACCTGTACCCCCCGAATGCAGGGCGCGGACATGGCACATGGGGGCTTACCTAACGCGGCGGCGCTGCCCCTCGGCCCGCTGACGGGGGGGAGAGGAAGCTAGTGTAAAGTTGCTTCATTCGCTGCATGTAAGTACGTCAGCTTCCACGTTGCATCTTCTCGTGCCAATTGGCTGCAGCCCTTTCTTTAACATACATACGTACGTCGGGGCAAATCCCGCCATTGTGCCCACAACGGTTGTGTGTTATTTTATTTTGGCTTTACTTTAGACTATACGAATACTACTAGGACAGGATTCCTCGCGTTTCCGTCCTTCACTCGCTCGCTCGCTCGCTCAATGTCACGGGCTTTCCGGTAACGGCTGCTTTTTTTTGGGGAGTCCTTGCGGCTCTCTGTCTCTCTCGCTCTGACGCTCTTACTTTGATTTACCATTCACCACACGAAACACGGAAATATGTCAAGAGAGAACCGCGCGTTTGATACCGAGGCGTTTGGGGCTGGGTATGGCTTTGAGTCGTTTCCGACGAGGGCGGTGGAAATGCCGCCGACGTGGGTGCTGGGCGTAGGCTTGGGCTTCTTGCTGTGTGCGCTGGGGTTCTGGGTAAGTCTGGTACAAGCACACATACGTACATGTACCTGTACACGTGCGCATGCATGTGTGTGTGTGTGTAGGATCAGGGTCTATAATGCAAACTTGCGACTGACATTTCCTCGACAATAGGCCTACGTAGCGCTGACTCTGGTTGCGCCTGTACCGCGCCCCCCTCGCCGCTCGGAGAAGCAATACATTACGATTCTGCCCGATGGCGCGCGAAGCGGTCCCCAGGAATTGCCGTGTTGGCTGGACAAATGGGCCGCAGAGAAGGAGGCGGCTAAGCAACGCGCGGCAAAAGAGCCAGGGAGCAAGGTGGTGGTGCCGCCGCAGATGCCAATTGAAGAGGCAGAGCTCTTCATCAGCGTCGTGGTGCCCGCGTACAACGAAGAAGACCGGCTGGAAGGCATGCTCGAGGAAGCCGTCGAATACCTGCAATCCAAGTACGGCGACGCGCACGCGGGGGAGAAGGGCGGCACGAGCGAAAAGGGGTGGGAGATTCTGATTGTGAATGATGGCAGTTCGGACAAGACGGTGGACAAGGCGCTGGATTTTGCAAAAGAGCACCAGCTCAGTCTGCATCCCAAGGCGAAGCCCGGCCCATGGTCGACGGACAAGACACCGCATTCAACGCATATCCCCCACGGCAGCATCCGCGTCATCAGCCTGGAGCAGAACAGAGGCAAAGGCGGCGCCGTGACCCACGGCATGCGGCACGTCCGTGGGCGCTACATTGTCTTCGCCGACGCCGACGGCGCCAGCCGCTTCTCGGACCTCGGAGCTCTCGTCCAAGGCTGCCAGAGCATCGAAGACAAGCACGGCCGCGGCGTGGCCATCGGGTCTCGCGCGCACCTGGTCGGCAGCGCCGCCGTCGTCCAGCGATCGCGCCTCCGAAACTTCCTCATGCACTCGTTCCACCTCCTCCTCCGCATCATGACCCCGCCCGCCACCGCACGCATCAAAGATACCCAGTGCGGCTTCAAACTCTTCTCCCGCCCATCCCTCCCCTACATCGTCCCCTACATGCACTCCGAAGGCTGGATCTTCGACGTCGAAATGCTCATGCTGGCTGAAAGCGCGCACATCGCTATGATCGAGGTCGCTATTGGCTGGAAGGAAGTCATGGGTAGCAAACTCAATGTCGTATGGGATAGCCTTGGTATGGCTTGGGGTCTCGCCCTGCTGAGGGCCTGCTGGATAGCCGGCATTTATCGCAGAGATTAGATGTTAGATTTGAGTGAATAGAGGGTGTTTTTTTGTTGTTGTTGTTGTTCATACTTTCATACCTTTGTGGAGTCTGCACTATGTGTGTGTGTGTGTGTGTATGTGGAATACATGTGTTGAGTGAGGTTTTAAACAGAGTATATGTAGGGTGCGGAGCATTCATATATCTGAGATTTAAAACTGCGTATGTAAGTAGACTCCTAACTAACTAGCAAGTAAGGTACTTGGGAGTTGAGGTTTAATACAGCTAAGTAGCTATATGTAAGGAAATACTCTGATCTGTAGAGAATACATCGAGACTAACAAATGTGTATTGATTATACACGTATTTCATACATATTATCTAGACAATCACAGTAGATACACACCACACGGTGTGGAACGACACTTGAATATGCATTCCCCCAATTCATACCTGTTTTTTTTTGTGCAAGAGAAATTCCCACAGTAAAATGTCAACACAGCAGAACTTGTCTCAGACCAAAACGTAAATACATTACCTACTCGAACTGCGCAATCCAGCCATCGCCCACCCTCTCGCCCTTGGCATCCAGCCCACCCCAAAACACCACGCTGTGCCCTGCCTCCACGACATCGGCGCCAAAAAAGGCGCGCGGGCCTGGATGAAGCTTTCCGGTGCCCTCCAACTGCTCGTCGAGCTGCTGGTCCCCCGGCACTTGCACCACGGCTTCGGCCCACGAGAGATGGCCTGTTTCGGCGCCAAAGACTGATCGAACGGCGTCTTTGAGCTTCGCGGGGTGGACGGCTTGTTTGAGTGTTGCAGCGGGTTTGGGGTCTACGTCGCTCGAGGGAAGTTGGAGCGCCCAGGTATCGCTGTATTGTGTTATGTCGCGCGAGTGGCTTGCATCTTCTGGGTCCGTGGTGCTGGGCACATCTGAAGCAGAGTCTGAGGCAGAGGAGGAGTCGCGGGCGCCCAGCACATGCACGAGGTAATTGCGGCCCCAGCCCGTGGTTACGGGGAGTAAAGCGCCGTTGTGGCGGGCTCGCGGACCTGGGGCGAGGGGGTTCGTCGGGAAAGTGGAGGAGATCCATTTCTTTTCTTCGGTGGACGAACTCAGGCTCATGTGGTGTAGCTGGCTGCTCAGCGCGTCGGTACCGGATACCAGCCATAGCTGCCCGTTTGCAAGCGCTGCGTTTGATGTTGCGGCTGGCGCGGTGGGCAGCTGAGTCCAGGAGCGCGCGGCAACGTCGAACTGCCAGAGATCGGATGCGTGGGCGCCTGAGCTGTCGATGCCACCGAATAGGATCAGGTACTGCGCATGTGCAAATAGGTACGCGTTACGACGGGGTCCGGGGCCAGTGGTAATATCATTGCTCTGCGATGACTCAACGATATCCCACGTCTTTCTTTCTGGGCTGAACAGCCACACCGAAGACTTCTCGTCGATGAGTTCCCCGTTTGAATCGCTACCACCATACACTGCGACGTTGCCGTGGAAAGCACACGCTGCATGGTTGGATCTCGCCAGTGGTGTCTTCTTATTCTTAGAGTCGGACAGTGCTGGAATCATGCTGTAGTCCATCTCTGGTTTCCCAGACTTCTCCAGAGTGACGGCATGGACGTCGTTGCTGGCGAGAACATTACCTGCCGTGTCGCCACCGAAGATGTATGCTTTGTTGCCGATTACCGTGACTGTATGGTTGGAGCGGGCCAAGGAGCGTCTGATGGTCAGTTTGAGTGTGTGAGACAGAGTAGTAGGTTACGTACTCTGAAGAGTCGCCTTTGGCTGTAGCTATACGCGTAAACGTTACTTTGAGAGGTAGGGTTGGCTTGGATACAAGGTAAGCTGCGTAACCTGCTTCTGCCGTATGCTCGACGACTTCTGCTGCTACGAATGCGCCTGCTGCTACTTCTGCCATTGTAACTCTAGAGTTCGGTATTGCTTCAGTTTGAGGGTTGGCAGTTCAAAAAGTCAGTCAAGCGTCGATGATGAGAAATAGTGACGAGGCGGAGTGTTGAGAGTAGGCCTAATGCAGGTACGCGATCGATATGACGTCAATGGTAGGTGCGTGTGAACTGGGTTTTGTGGAGTGATATAGCATGCTGGACTAAGCCTGTTGTGTCATGAAGAAACAGTATCTAATTCCATGCTACTCTCATGTTCAACGATGACCTTGGAGCCACACAGGAGTGTCACTACCCAGGGGCTTGGGCATGACATCCCATCCGACATCAAGGTTGAAAATCTTCGCAGCGTATTTGACAGCCCTCAGAGTACCAAAGGCCGTATCTCTCGACTCAAGGTACTCTTCTACATCTTGCGCTTTCTCAAAGTCTTTGCGGTCAAAACCACTCTTACCTTCGTAGCGACCCAAAGACCGTAGGTATTTCATGACGCCAGCCAGCGATACCGCCACTTCATATGTACCTCCTTCGGTGGCGCGTTTGTACAGTGCGGCCATAACACCGGTTGCTAAAAGGTATCCAGCACCGTGATCAAAAGCTTGACATGGCAACACGCGTGTAGGCTCGTCTCCACCGTAGGCTTGAGCTTCTGCAACATTGATACCAGAGCAAGCTTGTACGAGCGAGTCAAATCCACGATTCTTACTCCATGGTCCGGATGGACCATAAGCATTTAGGCTTGCCACGATCAAGTTTGGATTGGTCTTGTGGAGTTCTTCTGCAGATAGTCCTTTCCCCGCAAGGCTTCCAGGACGATAGCTCTGAATGAAGACGTCAGCTGTGGAAAGTAGATCCAACAGCGTCGCTTTGTCTTCCTCCTTCTCGATATCCAGCTGTACCGTGCGCTTCCCGCGGGATAGATCAATGTCGAGGTCTGGAAGAGCTGGCAAAGATGGCGACGTGACCCAGATTACGTCTGTCCCATGTGCGGCTAGTGTCTTACCCGCAACTGGCGCGGCGATTACTCGGATCATCTCAACTACACGAATTCCTTGTAAACATTTGTCTGCCACTGGTGGCATCGAAGGTATGTAGGGGGTGGTGTGAGTGACCTTGTTTATCAGTATCGGAGAATCCGCGATAGCTTCGGCTTGCGGTAGTGCGTCCCATTCCTCAAGAGATCGCACTGCGGCGATGACAGCACCTCTTCGAAAAGCTTCAGTTTCTAATTCGACAGCTTTCCACTTGGCCACCTCTTTTACAACATCGTCCTTGGAGGCATCAGAACCCAATCCTAGGATCTGTAGTGCATTTCGCCGGTGGTTCGGAAAAGAGTCGTGAATCCTGACGTAGCCGTCAGAAGCCTTGTGTAGTCCACCAATGGTGCCCCAGGGTGGGGATGCAGATTCTCCGTTAAGAGTGTAAAGTCGCTCAGATTTGAACTCGACACACGCATGCTCGGCTGGAACAACGACGCGCGGTATGGTGTTGTTGTGCTGAACGGACCAGTAAAGAGCTGCCGCAAGTGCAGATACACCAATGGTTGACTGTGCGAGAACATCGACCTTGAAAGAAGACGGGAAGCATTCAGCATCTAGTGGCAACTCGAGTGATGCCAAAGCAACCTCCGGAAGACCTAATTGTTTCCAGATTCGTGCAGCGGAGTCATACGCGGAGATGTTTGGAGAATCCATGGACAGTGACGCAAACGGAACATGCAAGAAAGTGTTCAGAATGACGGGCAATGATAAATATCCCTTAGACGTCTTGATGATGGAATAGACGTGCAAAAGTCATCAAGAGGTTAAGTTTCCGAAAGACGCCATTCTTGGTATGGCCAAGGAAAAGGCAAACGAGAATGGGATCCGAAAAGGTCATGACTGGAACGGCTCCACACGCAGTCGGAGGCAGAGGAATGCCGAACATTGTTATGTAATCTCCTAGCGTCAGGCCTCCCGCTTTGTACCACCAAGTACACTTCTCCTTCATTCTTTCCATTGCGATTCTTTTTCTTAGCATATGCCGATCACGTAGTACTGACATGTGAATCTCATAATCTAATTGGGCTGGTGTTAGCGTATGTCGGGCAAGTTATTCTGGGATGGAGTGACGTCGCTTCTCAGCCTGATGGGCGAGACACCGAGAAGCCGACAGTCGGGTGTCCGGCTTGGAGCACTTGGCAAATGGTATATAAACTCATTTCAAACATGATTGAATCCGCCACGGAAGAATCAGACTTGCCATGAGTCACATCAAGAACATTGTCGTTTACGGGGCACTTGGTGCTACCTCTCTAGTACGTTGCTCAACTTCACAATCGAAGAAGGATGTCTTACTCACTACTATAGATTTTGTGTAGAATTATATACAATATCTTTTTACATCCTCTGAGACACTATCCTGGACCGAGACTATGGGCTGCCACTCGCCTCGCATGGTCACACTCGTTGCAATCAGGGCAGTACCATCTTAAACTCGACGAACTGCATAAACACTATGGCCCAGTCGTGCGGGTTGCTCCTGATGAGCTGTCTTATATCAATCCCGAGGCCTGGAGAGACATATACGGTAACCGCAACATTGTAAAGAACCGCGTATGGGCCGGGCAAGAGGAAGAACACCATACGATTAGTATTGTCAGTACCGATGAAGCAACGCATTTGCGAAACCGCAGAGCACTTGCCGCCGCATTCACTGAACATGCAATCGCTGAACACGCTACGATACTCGAAGGTCTCGTTGATCTCATGATGCAGAAGTTCAGCGAAGCAACTGCACAAGGCCAAGGGCGCGCGGTGCTCGATCTCAAAGGTTGGTTCAACTGGCTGACCTTTGACATATCGGGCTCTCTCTCCTTTGGAGACTCATTCGGGAGTGTAGCCGACGGCCGTGCACATCCCTGGGTTGAAATCAGCTGCAGTTTTGGAAAAGGCATTGCCCTCATGGCGTCCATCAACTTCTTCAGTCCGCTGAACAAGCTGCTCAAGCTTGCCATGCCGAGAAACGTCATGAAGAAGATGGCATATCACCGAGAGCTAGCTCATGAGAAGTTCATGCAGCGTCTCGCCATGGAGACCAAGGCCAAAGCTCAAGACTATGTAGGCTCAATCATGGCGTACAACGAAGAAAAGGGCGAGGTCAAGATCCCGGAAGATGAGATCGAGGCCAACATGACTTTGCTCATTTTTGCCGGTAGCGAAACCACGAGCACAGCCATGACCGCGGTGATTACGCAGCTTCTGCAGAACCAAGCTGCTCTGAGCAAGGTGGTTGAAGAAGTCCGTGGGAATTTTAGAAATGAGAGCGAGATCACTATTGCGACGGTTGCGAAACTGGATTATCTCTCTGCCGTGATCCAAGAAGGAATTCGCATGGGTCCGCCAGCAGCTGTAGGACTGCCTCGTATCACCCCTCGAGGCGGCGAGAATATCTGCGGCCGATACGTACCAGGCAACGTAAGTCATACTCCCGAGGTTATGCAAGACTGTGTGGGCTGACATGGTGTAGACGTTTGTATCTGTGAATCAGTATCCAGCTTTTCGTTCGACACTCAACTTCACCGACCCTGATAGCTTCGTGCCAGAGCGCTTTCTGCCCAACTCGCCATTTCCCTCTGATCGCCTCGATGCCTTTGAGCCATTCCTGCTGGGCCGACACAAGTGCATTGGGCAGAAGCTTGCGTGGGCAATCATGCGGCTGACGCTTGCGCGCGTCTTCTTTTCATTTAACCTCGAGGCAGCGGAGGGGCCGGTGCATGACTTTGGCGTACAAAAGACATTTATTTTCTGGGAGAAGCGAGTGCTCAAGGTAGAAGTTCGGCAGAGACATTGAAAATGATTTTGGGTGGAAACTTGGGGTTTGGGTGGCTGTGTAGGCGACATTATGGGGATGCACCCTTTTTATAGTCCAGGCGTGCATCTGCACGCATTGCTTGGCCGCAAGTGGTGCGCCCACCAGAAAAAACAAGGCGACCGGCAGTTCATCACACTGTGATCGCATGGGCTGAGATAGAGTATGCGGGGCTTCCATATTTGTGCCCAACCGAAGCAGGTGATTGGTGAGACGCCTTGTCGGGCGGCATGATGTGATGTTAGGCGCATGGTGGCTGAATCCAAGGAATTCGTTCTGTGTTTGCCTTTTTTTTCGCCTGGCTGCCTGCTGCCCGGTGGGCGGCCCATCCTTAAACACGATCGTCATATTTAAAGGACGAACGCTCAGTAGGGTAGTTGTCAGTGCACGCATGAGATGCTTTTTTTGGGCGCACAATACGGACTCTTCATCATATTATAAGTCTAACTTTTTATTTTCTCGGTAGCAACCAGCGTATCAGTGTTATCCCCCCTCCCCGAATAACCATGTCGGAACGCGAGATGCCCGAAGAGACCAAGTACCCGTAAGTCAATCCTTTGCTCTCCCAGCCAGCAGAACTATGCAGCGCCTCCATAGCTCCACTTGCAATAAACAAAGGGACCTTCATTCTTGAATGTCTCCCTAATAATGATTTATTGTCTCCATTCTAATGTCCGACATTGCACACTACAGTCCCCAACTCCACCTGGATAGCATAGGGAACCAGAAGCCAGGGTCAGCATCCTCGCCTATTGCCGATCCGCCAATCACACATCGTCCGCTACTCCCCATGCAGTTAGCGTCACATGCCATCTCCACATTATCCGCTAGTAAGACCCAGACTACGGGCACCATCACGACGACGTCAAGCACAGACCAAGCTACCAGTGGTGGCAAACTTCTTACACCTGCCAGCCTGGCCCGAAAAAACGGGCGCTACGACGCCGGTTTCGATGCGTTACAGGGGGCTGTTCGCGCACGCGCTTTGCAGGATGCAGGCAGAGAGTTGGGCTTCGAGCTCCCTGTTCAGTCCTTCATGCACGACCGGTGGCAACTTGATGGCTGGCTCGCTCAGCAGTCAAAGTAAATGCTTGCTTGCTTCCTGTCACCTTTCATTTGTGCGCGATACATTTGTTTATTTTTTTCTTTCATGTCCCAGGTACAAAGACAACGTTGACGTATCGTTTTTGTAACCAAAATGTGTATGTATGTGGACTTGGGCTGTGGCAAAAACCTACCCACTTATTGTAGACTAGTTTTTATTCCAACCTGTGTAACCATTCTTGAAACAAAGTGCTGGTAATATGTAAGTACCGAATTTTTGTGTAGCAATATTGTGATTTGTTGTCGTCGTTGGGCACACTAAAAAAGGTGAGGAGGAGGAGGAGGAGGGGGGGGGCGTTAGAGAAGAGTGAGAGTGCATAAGCTGAGGAGGATGGAGGGGGCGCTATGTCGCTGATTGGATGTGGTGTGAGGCTCTTTGTCAGCACATGATCAGGCTCTCTCTCTCTCTCTCTCATATTAATGATGTAAACGTCCCTACAGCTCGTGGCGGTGCTGAAAAGGGGTGCAGGTTTAGCTGCTTTGCTGTTATTTTGCCTATTCTGGCTATTCCCGCCATTCACGCCATTCGAACATCCAGCCTGTAACCAAGTGGCTTCGCGTAACTAACTGAAGACGGAAATTCCTAACGTCTTCACATATATGTAGGTAGTAGACAAATCACAGCAGCAGGGCTTCTTCGAGCCAGTAAGCGTCGAGTTTGTTGATTCTGTCCTGCAATCTAAGCGTCTATCACATGACTGATTTATTACGCAGCTCAAGCTGCTGTTAGTCATCTTAGGTACCGGGTAGTCTTTCGGGATGTGTAATTTTCTATGTTTTTATTTATGATAGATTCTTCATTTCAAGTTCATGTTGCCATACAGAGAGAGAAAGAGAGAGATACCCGCTTTCTAGTTTGACAACACGTGCTATGCAAAAGACGGACTACATAGATGATGCGCGGAAGCTGAGAATGCACTTGCAGATGCGGCATGAAGGGAACAGAAGGAAATCTTGTTTCCGTGCGTGGCTGTCACACAGCAGAAAAAGGAAAGTCACCCAGAGCTCGCGATTAAAAATACCTACTTGCGGGACTATAGTGGACAGAGTCATGGTAGTGTTGCTTTTGTGGTGCAGCCAGTTATAGTGGATGCTATATTTACAGGGAACATTATGCGCATGCTGGGTGTCAGATCCGTTGTGATTTGCGGAGCTAGGCTTTGGTGGCGTAAAGGCTCATGGATCACTAAGTAACGATCTTGTGAGATGCGCGCGCTCATGGTCAATGCGCAGAAAGTGTGAATTAACCAGGTGTAACGTATGTGGCAAGCGAGCGCCGCAGGTAAGCGAGCGCCGCACCCCACCAAACCTGCGCACCTCTCCTATCTCAACGAACAATAGCTCAACGTAGCGCTACTCAATTAGCTTTAAATAAAGCAGATATTCAGCTTGCTATTTCTTCTATTAATCTCTATTAAACACAAAGTAATCGTCGCGCTGCTGCTGTC